AGATGACCACTCTTCGGGTGTTACTGCACGTTGCAGCACCGCGTGACTACGAGCTCCACTCGCTTGACTTCAGCACAACTTTCTTGCAGGGAAGCCTTCACGAGGAGATATGGCTGCGCCGCCCACCTGGGTCGTTTCCCGACGGTACCCAGTGGAGCCTCCGGCGGCCAGTCTACGGTCTCCGCCAGGCGCCCCACGAGTGGCACGACACACTGAGGACTACACTTGCGGCTCTTGGGTTTGCTCCTTCCACTGCTGACCCGTCAGTGTTTCTGCGCATCGACCCTTCTCTGCCGTCGCTCTACATCCTCGTGTACGTCGACGACTTGGTCTTTGCTACTGCTGACACTGAGCACTGGCCCTTGTGAGCATAGCTGCAGAAGAGACACACCTGTACTGACCTGGGTGAGCTGCGAGCTATCTTGGCTTGCAGATCACTCGGGACAGAGCACGGCGCACCATTACTCTGACTCAGTCACACATGGTGCACCAGGTCCTTCAGCGCTTCGGCTTTCAGTTCTCCTCGCCACATGTCACTACTCTGCCTACAGGCCACCCGCTCTCAGCTCCACCTTCGGACGAGTTCGTAGAGCCGAGTGGTCAGTATTCAGAGCTTGTGGGCTGCCTCATGTACCTGATGACTTGCACTCGACCTGACCTCGCATACCCTCTCAGCATCCTGGCGCGCTACGTTGCGCCCGGGAGACACTGACCAGAGCACAAGCGGGCTGCTAGGAGGGTGATGTGTTACTAGTGCAGTACATCGGGCATGGGGCTTGTGCTTGGAGGACGGGGGCGAGTTGTACTCACTGGACACTCAGACGCTTCTTGGAGCGACGACCAGGAGACTCAGCGGTCGTCGCAGGGTTACACTTTCAGTCTCGGCGCAGGTTCTGTCTCCTGGAGGTCCACCCGCTCGTCTTTTGTACTTAGTTCCAGCTGTGAGGGCGAGATCTACGCTGGGGCTATGGCTGCTCAGGAGTTACGCTGGCTGACCTACTTGCTGACAGACTTGGGTGAGCGGCCTCGTTCTCCTCCGGTTCTGTACGTCGACAACAAGGCCACGATTGCCTTGTGTCGGGAGCAGAGACTAGAGAACAAAACGAAGCACATTGCTCTTCGTTACTTCCTCGCTCGAGAGTTACAGCAGCGTGGTCAGCTCCGCCTTACTTACGTGGCCTGACGGGCCAACACTGCTGATTTCACCAAGACCCTTGTGTCTGGTGATCATCAATGTTCTGCACTGCTCTAGACCTTGTGCCTACTCTGCCTCACTTGCTTACCTCTTGACGTTGCCTTGTACTGTGATCAGTATATATACCTGCATGCCTACTCTTGCTAGGTTGTGATCACTGTACTGCTTGAGCGTTTATACCTCTGCATGTGAACTGGCCTTGTGGCCACTTGCTTGTGCTCAGACTGCGTGGTGACTTTGAGATCCACCCTGAGCTTTGCTTTGCTTCTTCTCTTGACTGGTCTTGTGACCCTTTGTTGTTCTTGCTATCTTCCACTTTGCCTATGGGGGTGTGTCAAACTATATATGGTTGTTATCTCTAGGCTGTAGTAGGGGTAGCCCATATAGGGTACAACTCAATTAGGGTTGGTACTTGTATGATATTTCCTGCTCAATACAATCATTCCTGTTTCATAGATTCTGACACGCTCGACTTACGCACCCAACACACACACCCACACACACATACACACATGCACATGCACACACATACACACACATACACACACATGCACACTCACACGCACACGCACACACGCACACACACACATGCACGCGCACGCACGCATGCTCCCACACATCCACACACACTCACACTCACGCACACACACACACACACACACACACACACACACACACACACACACACACGCATCGCATGCACCCACACGCACACACACGCACGCACGCACGCACCCACACACACACACACACACACACACACGCACACGCACACGTGCACGCGCACGTACGCACACACACACACACACACACACACAAACACACACACACACACACACACACACACGCACACGCACACGTGCACGCGCGCGTACGCACACACACACACACACACACACACACACACACACACACACACACACACACACACACACACACGCGCGCACGCATGCACGAGCCCACCCACACACGCACGCACGCAGAGATCCATCTTGTGCCTACATGTCATGTGCAAGACCCATCATTCGAATTTGGCAGAGCTAGATGCATCGGTGCATCCCATTCCTTGTTGCCAACCAAAACGCCGACGCCACATGGCGCCTGCACTTGGTGTCCTGTTTAATTTTCATGGTTCTCCTTGGTCCCTCTGATTTGACGGCCACTGCTTCTCGCATGCAGCAAGTTTGCTGTCACTACCCTCCTATCAAAGGACATTATTGTTACAGTAGCCAAGCCAGGACATAGTTTATTACAGAGGCAGTGCACATTCGAAAACAAGGGATATGAGATACAACATCCGCTACCAGCATGCCTGCCTGACCCATTGCTAGTTGATCAGAATCAACAGCACCCAAAGTTACCACAAACTGCCCACTCCACAAAGATCTATCACGGCATTCCCTGCGCCATAAGCCAAGAGTAGAAGCCAAGCACACACATTCCACGAAGCGACTACATTTCCAGAGCAGCTGCGGCCCCCGCTGCTGCTGCTGCTGCTGCTGCTGCTGCTGCTGCGGCCGCCGCCTCCGCCGCTACTGCCAGAACCCACCCCGCCTAGAACTGGCGCTTCTTGCAAGCGGACGAGGTGCAGTTGAGGTTGGGCGGCAGGATGACAAACGTGACGCCATGCGCCGCCAGGTTCTCAGTGAGCCCAGCGTTGGGCACGCTGAGAGGCGAGGCGAACTTCATGGCGGGGACGGACTGGAAGTAGACCTCGTTGGGCTTCACCGTCTTGTTCAGCGGCAGGTTCTGGTTCAGCGTGGGGAACAGCGTGAGCGGCGCCGCGTCCAGCAGCTGCTGCGTGGTGTAGCGCCCCTTGAGCACGTGGTATCGCAGCACGCGGCGCTTCTGCTTGGGCTTGAGGGTGTTCCACTGCGTCTGGTAGCGCCAGTGCCCCACGTTGGTGGGGATCAGCAGCGTCGCCGGCTGGTCTATGTACAGCTGGCCTGATTGGTCTGCGCACAGAAAAAGGGGGGAGGGATGAGGGAAGAGGAAAGAGGGATGAGGGGTGAGCAGAGTCGCCGGCTGGTTGATGTACAGCTGGCCGGATTGGTCTGCGCAGGGTAGATTGGGACGAGGGAGGAAGGAAGGATGAACAGGGTAAGGAAGGATGAGGGTCGTACAATAAGAAAGGAAACACGGGGGGTCGAAAAGAAGGCTGACTGAGACTCGGATTGCTGAAAAAACATGTTCGCCTGCCAGGAATCTCCGTTTGACCGGGTCAAAGCGGTCTGAACCGATAAGAACTGGACAGGAGGGGTCGCAAAGTGTCAGTGAGTGAGATGGGAGGGTTAGGCTCTTACAGAAGTCGGTGAAGATCTCGACAAAGGAGGAGAGATAAGTCTGCTGCGACACCTGCTGGAGGATCGACTCCGTCTGCGCCTCCCAGTCCACCTGCCCCGCCGCCTGCGCCTTCAGGCCGCTCAGCAGACACGTGACGAGCACTGCTGCGAAGCCACTGGCGAAAATCGCCCTTGGGGTAACCGCATTTCGCGCACGAACGGCCATGGTTTCTTGGAGCGGGAAGGAAGCGAAGCAGAGAAGTCGAGAGCGACGATAGTGAAAGAGGATCGCCCGCTAGACGTTCGACTGAGAATGACTCAGAGGAAGGCCGAGAGTGCTGTGAATGATAATGCCTACTCCTGCCATCTTTATATCAATCTCCGTCCCCTTTCTTCCTCTCTACTCCCCCCGTTTTCCCCTCTCACCCCGACTCGACTCTCCGAGCTCGGGGCCGGCGCGAGCGCAGCGTGTGCGCGGTAGTACACGGTGCAAACGACGCAATAGCCTCTTCGCCAACCATATCCTCTTCGCCCTCGAATCGGCTTGGAAGCTTCCAGGTGCAGCTGGGTCGTTGTGCGGAGATGAGAGCAGACTGAGGTACGTGCACCGTACAAGCGCTGCTGTTGAGGGAGTGGGCAATGAGGTAGGTGGGAGTGGGCAGGTGCAGATCATCTGCTGCTGCTGCTGCTGCTGCTGCTGGAGAGTGCCAGCGGCGATGCCTCCGCATCCGACGGTTTACACGGTTGGTGGGTGTACCTTAGATGCGATGGTAGTACTACATAGTAACGGTTGCGTTGACTCGACAACAACTACTACACTACTCCATTGCAAGGCTCGGAATAACTATCACCATCCGATGCTTCAGCGTCCAGATCGAGATCCCTAGAGTCGACTCAAGAGTCAGGAGGTCCCGGAATCTCGGCACGCTGCTGCAGCTGCAAGTTGGTTGCGATTTGTAAAACCAGAGACGACGCAGCGGCGGCGGCGAATCGCAGTAGGGCGGAAGCGGAAGGCAATCTGGAAGCCCATAATGGGCGGAGAATATGGGCATGCTTCACAGGCAAGAGAATCGGGAGAGTCTAGGGTTAGCAGAAGGGCGAGCGGGCGGCTCCCGTGAATGGCATTTCGTTTGCAGACTGGAGGGGTTGGGCATCCCACCACTCCACACCACAGCAGGGCCACCAGATGATAGTGCCGGTTGGTATTCCTTTCCATCCATCCTCGTTGTTTCTGTAGAGTTGCTTGGTTTTCTGATACCGAATAGCAGTGTCATCAAAGATCTGGTTCATCATTATCCAGATAAACTGGAACTGTGCTACAAAAAATACAGGTAAATTGTTGGGTGAGCTCGACTAGCAATTAAAAAAAAATATCCAAATCTGTAAGAGGGTAACAAAAATACACTTTCTCGTTGCATTAGGATGTACAAACATGATCTACTGCATCAATTTTCACACCACCGGACCAACCTTTCCCCATGAAATCTTATATCAAAATCAAAACATTGCAGCAGCCGGTAAATTTACATATTGGAGGAGATGGCAGCGAGTCGTCTCCTTGTCGCATTGGACACTGCAATCTGACCCAACCCCTCTGCGTCTGACTGAGGGCGCATCGCAATTGGCTGATAGTGGCGGAACCACTCTCCGATGTAGCACTGCAAGTGCACACATAAGGGAAAGGTGCAAGGAAAGGTTGAAAGTCAGAAGGGAAGTAAAGTAGCCTCAAATCTGCAATGCAATGTGTGACAAAACTGGGATGTGTTGATCTCTGGGGGCGCACCTCCTGGGGGCGCATGATGCGGGTGTCGGGATCGTCAAGAGACTCCTTCCAGTGCGCCAGGTACCCCACCATGCGAGGGATGGCAAAGAGCACCGGGAAGAACTCCGTGGGGAAGCCCAGCGCACTGCAGCGCAGGAGGGGGGGAGGACCGGAGAGGGAGGGGGGGGGGGGGAGGGGATGGGGTTGGGTTGGCGTGATGAAGCCCTGTTTTAACAGGATGAGTGGCACGGTACGACTGACACAGCATGACTGACATGTCACGAGTCACATGGCATGACTGAGACAACACGAGTGGCATGGCATGACTGACCGGTAGATGAGGCCGGAGTAGAAGTCAACATTGGGGTAAAGCTTGCGCTTGATGAAATACTCGTCCGACAACGCTGCCTGCTCCAGCGCCACTGCCACCTGTGAGGGTCACACACAGTGCAGCACACACACACACACACACACACACACACACACAGTGTCACGGCACTGCAACCTGCCCGGGTCACACACAGTGCAGCGCACACACACATGGTGTCAGGAAAAGGCTGTGCCGGTGAGCCCAACGGGGAGCTGAGGCTCCTCCCAGCCGTCTGTAGAATGGAGTTGAGGCCCCGCCCAGCCCACCTGAATGAGGGGGTCATGGTCCACAGCGAAGACCACCTCCTCTGCCAGCCCGCGGATGACCTTGGCGCGCATGTGGTGCCGAAATCCCGACATGAAGTGCAAGGCAATCCGCAATTGACCCCTGTAAGAGGCATCCACTGTTCCTCCCAGCGCACCTCAATGAGCGGGTCGCGGCCAACAATGGAGAACACCTCCTCGGCCAGCCCGCGGATGACCTTGGCCCTCGGGTCATAGTTCTTGTACACGCGGTGCCCAAACCCCGACATGCGGCGCTTGCGGTCCTTGACGCCCTGGATGAACTCGGGGATCTTGTCCGCACTGCCTATCTCGCTCAGCATCTTCAGCACCGCCTCGTTGGCCCCACCATGCAGCGGGCCGTACAGCGCACCAGTAGCTCCTGCCAATGCCGTGTACACATCTACTCCACTGCAGGCGGGGAGGGGCGGGGGGTTAGGAGCACGATGATGAATTGATTCTTCAGTTGACTACAATAACACTTCCTGCCAACGCCATGTACACATCTGCTTGCATGCAACGAGGGGAGTGGGACAGACAACTTGATCTCTGAAAACCCCCCTAATTGCGTCAATGGCACGCCGGGTGAGAACTGGAAGAAAGGAAGGCGAGAAGCAGGCGCTTCACTGGGAATGAGAGTTTGGAGGCGGGGAGAGCAACCATGCATGGGTGGTAGGCACCTGGAGGCGAGGTGGCGGGCGGCAGCAGTGGAGCAGTTCATCTCGTGCTCAGCGTGCAGAATGAAGAGAATGTCCACCGCCCTCGCCAGCCGTGGGTGCGGGCGGTACGAACGGTCGCCCCTGGTGCACACAGAGGAGAGAACACACACGCGTCAAGCGCACAGCATACAGCACATGGACTCATGTTCACTCAACAGCAAATGTGCAGGAAGCGGCGAAACAGAGGAACAGGGAATGGAGAAGCAGAGAAGACAAGGAACGAACTACCTCTCAGACAATGGGTTACTGGTGAAATCACTCTTGAGACGACAAGACAAAGCTCTACTTAGACGGGCCTATACTAGCGGCATGTGCTCACATGGAGTGGAGCAAGCAAGGTGGTCTCACATGGAGTCGAGCATGTAGAGGAAGTTCTCAGCGTATGACAGGTGGCCTGCTGGTGCCACAGGAGGCCGTCCCGCCATGTGCAGGTACGCTGCTGCTGCTATGGTGGGCACCTGGTGGGCGGAGATAGGAGAAAGCAGGGCACGGGATATGCAATCCATTCGGTTGAAACGTGTAGCGAGACCCCTATCAAGCAACACACAGGAGGCCGCCCCGCCAGGGGTAGGTATGCTGCTGCTACTAGGGTGGTAACGTGGTGAGCCAAGGCAGGAGGAGAACAGGACATGCAAGAGATACTGTTTAGCTGGTTGGATCGTGCTATGAAGCGCCTTACACACACCACACATACGCCGTCCCAGTCATCTACAGGTAAATGCTGCGGCTCTAGTGGTGGTGGGCACCTGGTGGGGCGAGCAGTGTAGCTACGCGCCGTACCTTGCCGAGAACTCGCACGATCTGCTTGTTGCGAACCGCCTTGGACTTGTACAGGTCTTGGCCCTGCATGCACAGGGACATGCCACAATGCCGGGACGTGCCACGTTCAGACATGAATGGGGACTCTTGAGTTGACTCGACTAGAACCTCTGTGTAAAATAGAGCTGACTTTGTGAAGTTGACTTTTGTGAGTTGGAAGACAAGAAAATTCTCGTTTAAAGAACGAGGACAAGCGTGTCAATGCACCTGGAGAGCAGGGTTGGCATCCGCGTGGAAGGAGGAGAGCGCGCAGAGAGCCCCTGTGAGCACGCCCATAGGGTGGCTGTCCCGAGGCAAAGCTGCAATCACCGCCTGGCAGCACGCACACAAGGGAACAGGAGGGGGTTTTTTAGGCGCCTCAAGAAGGAGGAGAGCGCGCAGAGTGCCCCTGTGAGCACGCCCATGGGGTGGCTGTCCCGAGGCAAAGCTGCAATCACCAACTGGCAGCACGCACGCACACACACATGGGAGAGCAGGAGAGGCACAGGGGGACGGAAGGGCGCAGGGGGACAGGACGGACGGACACAGAGAAGGAGAGGTAAAAAAGGACAGGAGGTGCACAGAAGGGCAGTATCAGGACAGTGCTGGTCGAGTGAGTTACTCAGTGCTGGCTCCCTTCTAAAAGTTTGACACACGGGAGTTCAGCAAGGTAGGTGGACAGTCAGGAAATGACTTGGCGCTCTAAAGGTACTCAAGCAGTCTGCTAATCGTTCCAACAAGAAAGCGGTGGCTGTTTATTTCGTAAATGCAGGTGACTGGTTCGTAAAAGGTTAATTTCTATTAGAAGGTGGACAGATTCCGTCAACGCACCAGAACACCGTCAGGGAGCGCGGAGTGCTGCATGATGGTCCCCTCCCAGTCCGACAGCTGCTCCTGGTTCGGCAGACTGCCGTACACTGCCAATGTACACCATCATAATATTAGTGTTCTGATTTTCCATTGCAAATGAAGGAAATGAAGAGATTAATATATTTGTTTTTTTTTTTTTTTTTTGCACGAGATTGAGATTGAGGAGGGACTTACTGAGCAGGTAGGCCGTCTCAAGGTGGGTGCTTCGCTCTGCGAGCTCCTCAATCGGGTAACCGCGATATCGCAGAATCCCCTTGTCGCCATCGATGTAGCAGATGGCCGACCGCACAGGTGCGGTGTTCAGATAACCCGGATCGTACAGCTTTAGACCGTTGCCGTCTCCGCCAGCCTTGATCTGCCACAAACATCACAGAAAATGTACAGCTAATTAGTAAAATCAAGGTATAAACCGGCGAGAAAACAAAGTTGTGAAGACATTCTTTCTGTGACGCGAGATGTTAAGACTGACCTTTTTGAAATCGCTGGCGCGAATGGCGCCGTCCTCGTTAATCTCGAGCTCGTACTTCTTCCCGGTACGACCGTCGACGACGTGAAGCACGCCGGGACCGCCGCCAGGTGCGGGCCTCACTTCCGCTGACGTGGGGTTCACGCGAAGCCACTGGCCGTCCTGTCGAACGTCGGATATCGACAAGTGACCGGCTAGGACGGATAGCCGACTGGCAGCGAAATCTCGCGATTCAGTACCCATGGTTTCAATCCAGAAATTAAAATCTCTTGATGCGGATCAGAAGCTTACTTGATCCAATGCAGTAGCTGCTGGTCTTGGAAATTAGGATAAGAAAAGTTTCCAGCGAGAGATTGAACCTCGGACAGGCTCTAAACGCTGTCGAAAGTCGAAACCTGGTGTTCGTGGCTTCACTGACGGCACGGAAAAAACTCAAATCAATGACCGACTGAGCCGATAATGCGAGGTGAGAGATAGAAATATGAAACCGATGCACTTCAGGGTACTGACAGATTTGATGGCCAGTTGGGCTCGCTGAAATTGCACTGGGGTGTCTGAAGATGAGACAATCCGACGGAGCTAAACGGAACGGCAACGGAAATCAAAGTTTTGGGTGATCGCCAGCAGAGAGTTGACGTGGAGCTCAGCCCTTGTGGTCCCAGCCACAGCAGCACGAGGAAACTTCTGACAGAGCTGGATACCGCACCGCCTTGGATGTTCTCGCCAAGGCACGTCATTGAAAGGCTATTCCACGCATGTCAAGGTCCACGCCCAGCCCACGTGGATTCGTTCAAAACATTGCTGGTGGTGATTCGTTATTATTGCTGCGGTGTGTTCAGAAAGTGATGGCTATAGCCAAAGGGAACTAAATAGGCACAAACATGGTGCATTTCGTGTAACCCCATCATAATTCCAAACAAACCGGTCAAAATCCTTACTTCCTTTTCGTGAAGTGTATTTCGTGTCTCTGAAAAATCCATATCTCATTTGTCTTCAACATCCAATTCCTTCCCTTGGCATTTTTCCCTTTCAGCTTTTTGTCAAATAACATTTATATGTTTTGTTAGTTTGCTAGGCTATAGTGAGTTGCCTAGTATAGGGTACATAAATTCCCTCGACATTCCTACTTGTACCTCTTGCCCTACTAGTCGACCAACCTATTCCGCTGGTACTTTGAGATGGTATCACGCTAGTTCCTTCCTTGACCTAACTTACCTCCTTAGCAATGTTCCTAAGCTAGTTTAGTCCTTAGCAGCTTAGCTTCGTCTCCGCCAGCCAGCCTTTGCCAGCGTGGCGCCTCCGCCAGCCAGCCTTCCCGTTGACCTTAGTGCAGTAGCACATCCCAAAATTGACCCTCGGATGGACAATGTACCTACGACGGTTTCACACTGAACATTCAATGTGCATACGAAGTTTCCCGATACAATGTTTGTACATGTTCTCCTACATAGCATATACTACTGTTCCAGCATTACAGTACAAACATTGTGTTAACTCCCACAATACGTAGACCATGGTATGTGCGCACTATGTCATTACTACACACCCAGTAGTAACCCGTGCACTAAGTCGGCGTATACTATGGACGTAAGTCCAAACATTGTGTTTACTCTATCAGTACATCGACCATGGCATGTACGCACAATGTCATTACTACACGTACACTAGCAACGTACGCAAAAAAAACAGGTATATTCCCTACACAGGAAGATGCCAATAGTGCAATATGTTTTAAGTGTGTTCAGATATCCACTATATTACGAAGGAACAGATACACAAACACTAAACACAAGTAGGCTAGCATGCTCTACATCAGCGTAAATCTCAACAGTAAATTGTCACTGTATGAGGGGACCAGATTGTTAATTGTGGGTCTTCGGAAATAATGCTGGAAATGTGAAAGATAGAAGGAGGAATGAACAGCAGAAGGAGGGGGTTTCACTAGCAAGCAGTTGAGTACATATAGAAAACCCTAATAGGGCTGTACTCACTATAGAGTACCCCACTGCAGACTAGAGAAATATAACATTCTGACACACCCCCATAGTAAAAGTGGGGTATAATCAGCACAGCAAGCAGTCACAAAATAGTTCACAAGCACAAGTAAAGCTAGAGGCAGTCGCAGAGGGCAAGTGAGGAGGAGGAGTGACTGTGAGAGGAGAGGAGATGGGAGGCGACGGATGAAGCTGCAGACACACGGGCAACAGGAGCGGCTGGCTCAGTGGCTACCGGAGATTGTAGCCTCCGGACTAAAGGAGTAACTGGCTCCGCGGCTACGCCGAGCGGCTGGAGCAACTGACCCACGGGCGACTGGCGCAGCAGGCTCGCTGGGCTACCGGAGATTGTAGCCTCCAGAATACTGGCGCTGCTGGCGACACGACGGCTCAACCTCCGCTCAACCTCCCCCAACTGTCCCACCCCCCTTTCACACACCCCTTGCTGCACCCCTAGCTCTACTCCCACGTCACCCCCTTAGCACCACTCCTTCGGCTCCCACACACCCACCCCCCTCAGCGGCAGCTGCAGCAGTGGGAGACGGAGGAGGAGGAGGAGCAGGGGACGGCTCACACACCCGCCACCCCCATACCCGCCACCCCCACACTCCAAACGCAGGCGGCGTGGGGCAGAAACGCGGGCAGCAGTTGGGGCGGCGTGCGAGCAGAAGCGGGGCAGCGCGCGGGCCCCCGGGGCGCCGCGATGGGCGACGGGAGGGGGCGACGCGCGGGCCCCCAGGGCGCTGCGACGGGCGACGGGAGGGAGGGCGTGCGCGGGTCCCCCAGGGCGCCACGACGGGCGACGGGATGGCGGGGGGGGGGGCGCGCGCGGGTCCCCCAGGGCGCCACGACGGGCGACGGGATGGCGGGGGGGGGGCGCGCATGGGTCCCCCAGGGCGCCGCGACGGGCGACGGGAAGGCGTGGGGGGCGCGCACGGGTCCCCCAAGGGCGCCGCGACGATTAGGGCACCGTCGCACGCCTCGGGGCGCGCGACGGGCAGGGCACCGTCGCGCGCCACGGGGCGCGCGACGGGCAGGGCAGGGCGTCGCGCGGCCAGCAGGGCGGCGCGACGGGCAGGGCAGAGCCGTGACGGGCAGGCGCGCGGCGGGAAGAAAAAACGCCGCACGCCACGAGCGTGCGGCAGGCAGAAAACGTCGCGCGCCCGGGGCGCGCGACAGGCAGTACAGCAGCGGAAGCTTTAGGTGGGCCCATCCACAGGATCGACCAGCGAGGGTCGACCTGCTCTGATAGCATGTGAAAGATAGAAGGAGGAATGAACAGCGGAAGGAGGGGGTTTCACTAGCAAGCAGTTGAGTACATATAGCAAACCCTAACAGGGCTATACTCACTTTAGAGTACCCCACTGCAGACTAGAGAAATATAACATTCTGACAGGAAAGCCACAGTCGCCTGCGAAGAATGAGCAAAATTGATGCCTGCCAATAACAGCATTTTAAAGAAAGTAGATCTTGGAGCACCGTCGAAATACTAACATGGCAGGAAGAGTTAGAACGCGAGCGATGTTCTGGGCTGTACGATTAATTGCCTGCAAAAACCAAAACATCACAACCGCTGCCTTAATGTTAGATCCTGAGAAAAAACAGACAACATTCCACCATCAAGGCAACTCCGGGAGTTGCACTATATTATATGCAGGAACCCTTTCTTCCTGCAACTCCGGGAGCTGCAAAGGAGAAAATCTACTCAGTATGGCTACCAAGATAGCTAAAAGATAACACAGGCGACGTGAAATATATGTAGGGACGAGTAACTGAAACTTAAGACTAAGATGGCCGTGAGGAAACCTTGAACAATGATCTGCGTAGAAGCTGATAGGAGAGAAAGAGAAGGAAAAAACGAATCTTGGAAGAAGGGAGAAGCATTTGTGTTTGGGTGGAATGGAACTCAACTAAGTTAGGTGGGTGGGTGTGTTTTTGTCGAATGGCGAGCCTGAACATGATCCAATCAGAATACACTTTCCCTTATCAATAATTTCATCTCTTCATCAAAGCCCTTAATCAGAATGTTCAGATCGACGGTTGGATTTCCAGCCGGTCAATCGTGTGAGCTGTTGTGGGTTAAGGCACCTGAATCTCCCCCATTGAATAAAAACTGAGTCGACGGCCTAGATTCCAATCACTAAATCGTCGGTTCGATCTAAACCGTCCACGATTTGTCACATCAACGGTTGAGTTTCCAACCTGCACGAATATTTTATGATTCAACGAGACCTGTCAGATTCGATCTGGACGGTTCAAATACATCGACGGTCCTGGTTTATTCGGTGACCAAAAATCTCATTCCGCGCTGTTTTGGTCGTGTGCTACGTTTTGGCCCGTAATTGTCACAATTTGTGCTATTTCGAATCGTCGAAATCGGTCATCTAATTAGCAATGTGAAATTAGGTGTCATATTGTATCCTGCAAATTCTGGATAAAGTTCACTCGAAGTCTGTTATTGGTGGGATGAATGTACGTCCGGACCCCACCAACAATGTACGCTCGAACTCACTGGGTTCGTTCTACCGCAAGGTAAAAAAACAGTAGCCACTCCCGAAGCTGTACATTCTCCCGAGTCTATACTGTGGTAGCTTCGGCAAGCATGGTTCGTACGAGGCCGTGCGTTTACCATGTACCTTCAAACCACGAACAGTACACCCGGAAAGAACGAGGGTTCGAAGTACCTACTTCGAGGCTTGGTACACCAACCCCCTCGAACATGGGATGCAGTCGCGCGCTCCCTTCTAGCCTCTCGAACGCACGCCTGCATTCCGCACGTACCAGCGCAGCGCCCGCCAGCATAGCGTGCTCAGCAGGGCAGCGCAAGCCAGCAAACCGCGCCTGCATAGCGCGCGCGCCAGCACAGCGAGCGCCAGTGACGCTCGCGCACCAGCA